AATCTATGTAGCCACCACATCGATCACCAACAAACCTCAATGTTTTCTCCGACCAGTCATGCAATGGAATACCGAAGGCCCTGATCCAATTTTTTCCTCTTCTCTCCCTTCCGTCAACATATCCAGATCTTTCCATGGTTAGAATACGGGATTCTGATATTTCTTCTCCCTCTGGTTGTGACACTTTTTCCTTACCCCGGTATGAAGAAAACCTCCATGCACAGCAGGTCATCAATGCACCAATGGTTATTGAGACCTCTCATTGGACCAAGGTTGCTATGACCAAAGCATGCAAAGCTTTCGGAGTAAACTCAGTTGGATTTGAACATGAAATTTTTGATATGATCCTCAGAATGGAGAAAAAGAGGCAATCACAAACACAGTTGCAAAAGGGAAGAAGTGAGGGGAAGAAACCAAAGAACAAGGGGGAAAGAGAAGTAAGGTTGCTGGAATGCACACTTACATATGAAAAGGGTGAAGGGTCTGACAGGGGCAGGTTTCACAAATCCTTTTCAGAATGAGAGCAAAAATTATTAGCTGGAACATAAGGGGGCTCAATGACGAGAGCAAGCAATGCACTATTAAGGCACTTATTCAAAAGTGGAAACCTGACATTTTGTGTTTGCAAGAAACCAAAACTGAAACTTGTTCTGTTGCTATAGCTAGGCAGATTTGGGGCTCGAGATGGGTCGAGTGGACTGAGTTGAAGGCAAGTGGCAACAGAGGAGGGGTAATAATTCTATGGGATAAAAGACAGTGGAATTGCATTAACTCTTTGCAAGGGAAGTATTCTTCTCTACAATGCTTGAAGGGGTTCAGATTGATCTTAGCCTGTGCTTCACAGGAGTATATGGTCCTCATACTAACTGGGAGAGGATTGAATTTTGGGAAGAACTAGCTGCTGTAAGGGGTTTATGGAATGATAGTTGGATTATTGGGAAGGATTTTAATGTATGTCGTTTTGAGAATGAAAGGTTCAATTGTATAAGAAGATCAAGGGCTATGAAAAGATTTTCTGACTTCATTCAAGACATGGGCTTGGTGGGTCTCCCTTTACAGGGAGCTTTTTACACTTAGGCTAGGGGTGAAAATTCTCTACGGGCATCAAGAATTGACAGGTTTCTGATCTCTTCTGAATGGAATGATCTCTTTGGTTTAATTCAACAACTAGCCCTTGCTAGAGTTGTTTCTGATCATAGGCCTATTGCCTTGGAAAGTGGAGATTGGACTTCTGAACCTTCTTATCTTAAATTCGAAAACATGTGGCTACAACATGAAGGGTTTTGTGATATGATCAAACAATGGTGGCATGGTTATGTGGTAAATGGCTCCCCTGACTTTGTACTATCCCAAAAGCTTAAACTTCTAAAGAAGGATTTAGCAATCTGGAATAGGGAGTCATATGGTAGAATTAGCACCAGAACCAACAAAGCTATGGAAGAACTATTATTAATGGAACAAGCAACTGAAGGAAGACTGCAGACTCAAGCTGAAACAAATAAGATCCTTCAGCTAAAAATGGAGTTACAACAATTAGCCAAGTTTGAAGAAATATCATGGAGACAAAAGTCAAGATGCTTGTGGTTGAAAGAGGGCGACAGAAATACAAAATACTTTCAAAAGGTAGCCAATTCTCACAGGAGGTATAACTGCATTGACAGACTACAAGTGGGAGAGGATATCATTGAAGAAAAGGAACAGATTAAAAGGGTAATATTAGATTTTTATCAAGCTCTATACTCTGAGAATGAAACTTGGAGACCTAGTTGTACTTTTGAAGGCTTGGGTTGTTTGAACAATGAGGAGAAGGATGCCTTGGAAGTTGCTTTTGAAGAGGAGGAAGTTTTAGATGCTATCAACTCTTGCGCACCTGACAAAAGCCCTGGCCCTGATGGTTTTACATTGGCTTTTTATCAAAGATGTTGGGAAACTGTAAAACTGGATGTCATGGGGACTTTCAACCACTTCCATAGAAACTGTCACATGGTTAAGTCATTTAATGCCTCTTTTATTGCTCTCATCCCTAAAAGGAAAGGAGCAATTGAACTCAAAGATTTCAGACCTATTAGTCTTACTAGTAGTGTCTACAAGATAGTGGCAAAAGTGCTGACCGAGAGACTTAAAAAGGTGATCGGGAAGTTGGTCTCTGGCTACCAGAATGCTTTTATTAAAGGCAGGCAGATTACAGATGCTGCACTAATTGCTAATGAAGTCTTGGATTGGAGGCAAAAAAATGGTGAACCTGGCGTGCTCTTTAAGCTTGATATAGAGAAGGCCTTTGACAAAATCAATTGGCAGTATCTCATTTCAATTTTATGGCAGATGGGATTTGGTGAAAAATGGATCAGATGGATTAGATATACCTTCTCCACAGTCAAATATTCTGTTCTTGTTAACAGAAGCCCTGTTGGCTTTTTCTCCCCTGAGAGAGGGATAAGACAAGGGGATCCCTTGTCCCCTTTCTTATTCATTCTAGCGATGGAGGGACTTAGCAGAATGCTGGATAAAGCGAAGCAAATGCATTGGATGCAGGGTTTTGATGTTGGCAACAACTCTGGCTTAACAGTTTCAGTGTCTCACTTACTGTTTGCTGATGATACCCTCATTTTCTGTGGTGCTGAGAAGTCTCAAGTTGAATATCTCAATCTTACTCTGTTGATTTTTGAAGCTTTGTCAGGGCTGCACATTAACATGTCAAAAAGTGTCATTTACCCTGTTAATGTGGTCCCAGAACTAGAGATGTTGGCTGATTTAATGTGTTGCACTACAGGTTCATTCCCTACCACCTACTTAGGCCTCCCATTGGGTGCTAGACACAGATCAACTGAGATATGGAATGTGGTCATTGAAAAATTTGAGAAAAGACTAGCGTCCTGGCAGCAACAATATCTTTCTCTTGGTGGCAGACTAACTCTCATAAATAGTGTGTTGGACAGCATACCAACCTATTTTATGTCTCTNTCATTGAAAATAATAGCCGAGTCAATATACAAAATTTGAGAAAGATTCGAGGTAATTTGGATTGATTTGGTATCAAAATTCGTAGTTAAAATCGAGTTCAAAAAAATCTTGTGCGACACATGTATCATGTATGTATCTCACACATAATTATACATGGATATACAAGTAATACACATTTGATTCAAATGTGATACTGTCATGACACAACGATTAAGCCAGTTTTTAATAATAATAATTTGAAGCATAGTTTAATATAAATGCCGAAACAAAAGCGGAATAAGCCTACTCAGCAATATCATAACAACCTCCCAAGTCTCGTAATACAGAGCCACGAACTCTAGCTAAGTACACGGAAAGATCTCAAAGATCAAAATACAATACTGTTCAGATGACAACCAACAACACAATATAAGAAAAAGACTCCAAGGGACTGCGAAGGCCAAGCAGCTCTATCCAGGAAGGAAATGATTGATCAGTGGCCCTGGAAACTAATTTGGAGGACAAAAATGCCTCCAAAGGTCAGTGCTTTTTGCTGGATAACTCTAAATGGAGCATGCCTAACCCATGACAATCTCATCCGAAGGGGTTTACAGCTTGCTAGCAGATGCTACATGTGCCAAAGCAACTCTGAAACAATCAACCATTTATTTCTTCATTGTCCAGTTGCAACAGACATATGGTCCATGTTTCTTTCACTATTTGGTTTGCATTGGACAATGCCATGCAGTGTTAAGGAAGTTTTTGTGAGTTGGAGTACATGGAAAGTTGAGAAGTCCATCAAGAAAATCTGGTCTATGGTTCCTGCTGCTATATTTTGGTTCTTATGGACAGAAAGGAATCAAAGATGCTTTGATGGCATCTCAACTGCTAGACACCTACTCAAGGCTAGATGTTTGGTCACTCTTTTTAGTTGGGTTAAACTCTCCCCTATGTATAACTCTGACCAATTTATGGAATTTATCAGCTCTCTAGTCTTACGATAGATTTTTTGTTGCTCTCTTCTTAGGGGCTGATATCTTCTTTTATTTTGTAATACGTGCATCCACTGGATGCTTTTGTCAATAATACACTACTTACTTCATCAAAAAAAAAACTTCGTCGATTTTGTCGAATCTTATGCACCTCACTCTCCATCTTGATTCCGAAACAAACTATTTTCACTAATAATCATACCTCTAGGACTTCATATGTCTTAAATATCAAATTAATACCCATTTAACATATCCACACCTAGTCTGAATGTACGGGGTGTTACAGCATGCCAATACTACTATTATGAACACTCTAGACTACCTACTCTACTACCCTAATCCTCGACCTCCATATCTTCCTATCAAGGGTCATGCCCTCGGTCAGCTGAAGTTGCGCCATGTCTTTCCTAATCACCCCACCCCACCTCTTCTTTGGCCTACTTCTACCTCTCCATAGGTCCTCCAGTGTCAACCTCTCACACCTCCTCACCAGTGCGTCTGTGCTCCTCCTTCTCACATGACCAAATCATCTGAGCTGCGCTTCCCACATCTTGTCCTCAATAGGGGCCACACCCACCTTGTCGCGAATAACCTCATTTCTAATCCTATCTAACCTGGTGTTCCCGCACATCCATCTCAACATTCTCACCTCTGCTACCTTCATCTTCAGGACGTGAGCAATTTTGACTGGCCAACACTCAGGCCCATACAACATCGTTGGTCTGACCACCACTCTTTAGAACTTACCCTTAAGTTTCGGTGGCACCTTCTTGTCATACAAAACACTAGAAGCGAGTCTCCATTTCATTCATCCCGCTCTAATACGATGTGTGACATCTCCATCAATCTCCCCATGTCCCTGAATAATAGACCCAAGATACTTAAAACTACCTCTCCCAGGGATGACCTGCGAGTCCAACCTCACCTTCCCTTCCCCTCTTTGAGTATCGCCACTGAACTTACACTCCAAGTATTCTGTCTTAGTCCTGCTCAACTTGAAACCTTTAGATTCCAAGGTCTCCCTCCATAGCTCTAATTGCGCGTTCACACCATCTCGCGTCTCATCAATCAGTACAATATCATCTGCAAAAGCATGCACCACAGCACCTGTCCTTGGATGTGGCGCATCAGTACGTCCATCACCAGAGCAAACAAAAAAGGGCTGAGTGCTGACCCCTGATGCAACTCCATCATAACTGAAAAATGGTCTGAGTCCCCACCCATCGTCCTTACTCGGGTCTTTACTCCATCATACATGTCCTTAATCAACCTAACGTAGGCAACATGTAAACCTCTAGCCTCCAAACATCTCCACAAAACCTCCCTCGGGACTTTATTGTACGTCTTTTCTAAGTCGATGAACACCATATGCAAGTCCTTATTTCTCTCCCTATACTGGTCCATCAATATCCTAACAAGGTGGATGGCTTCTATAGTCGAATGCTCCGGCATAAATCCAAATTGGTTCTCGAAAATAGACACACTTGTAAGGCCCCGTGAAAACTTTGTACTGATCTAGCATTTAAAAATCAAGAATTAAAGTTTTCCAGAAAAGTGCTATTATGCGGTCCAGAATGCGGTCGCAAATCAAGTATGCGGACCGCATTTCTATCGCAATGTGAGTCAGGATGTTAGTCAAAGTTGAGGTCCATTATGCGATCACATAACTGGTATGCGGACCGCATTTCTGCCGCAAACCCAAACAGAAATGTTCCGAGTTTTGGAGCACTTTTGCGGTCCATTCTGCAGACCGCATTTTCTCTTTCGGGGCTCCAATTTTTCTAACTTTTAAACCCGACCCCTTCTTCAATAAAACACCCCAACCCTTCATTTTAACACATTTTCTGAACTAAACTAGAGAGAGGGAAGAGAGAATTCTTGAGAGAGAAAGTCTTATCTCCACCAATTTGATTTTTTCAAAGTCACCCAGGCTGGGAAATTTCAAGTAATTGTCTTCGTCTTCGTTCTTGCAGGTAAAATCCCCAACCCTTTTTCATTGGTTTTCAGATTAAGCAAAAAGGGGGATTCTCATGCATTGATTCTTGAAAAATATAAGTTGAACCATACGTGCATGTTCTTTAATATCTAAAATCTAGTAAGAGGAATTGGGTAGGAGTAAAGATTTGCAAAAAGGAGCGGTTGATCACCTAAATAAGTTCGGGTTGTATTTATGAACTTCAATTCTAAGATATATGTGTTATCTTGTGAACTAGATTGACGGTACTAGGCTGTTTGGTGAATTGAAAGTAGAAGTTAAAAAGGGAAATTCGACTCCAGGTATGTATGGCTAACTTTAACCCTTGTAAAGTCACCATGTTTGGTGTACGAGTAATTGGTATGCATTTCTTATGTGGACTATTTGTGAATTTTGTTTGCTTCACGGGTGTTAGGGCAAGATGGCCTATTTCATGAATTCTTGTGACTTAAATTGTATACGGGCTGTTGGATATGATGGAAATGGTACTGAGGTTAATGAAAACTCATTGTGAAATTGTTATTGTTGTTGTGAAATGATATTCTGGATGGCCTGAAGCCATGTGATTGAACTGTGAACTATTGTTGTTGTGTTAAATGTGAATGTCCGGTGGGATCGGGTTGCGCGCCGCAACACGAAGTTATAAGGTGTGGGTTGTGGTGATAAGGGTGGCCGAGGTAATAAGGGTGGAAAAGTGATCGAAATCACAATTGAAATGAAATTATATGAAACTCTTGAGTATGAAATGATGTTGAAAGGGGAAAAGGAGAGATTGTGAAACTTGTTGGCTTTGGTTGTTCCTTTCATGTGCATTTGATTGTTGATTCCATTACTGTTTGTTATCTGTGTATTGATTGATTTTACTTGGGGTAAAGTTTGTTCATACATACCAATACAATTCAAATGTACTGACGTTCCTTTTGCCGGGGGCGCTACATTCTTGTTATGATTGTAGGTGGTTCTAGAGCAGGTACTCCAGTCCACCGATAGTAGCACTCCTCCACTTTCCGTCAGCTGTATTGGTGAGCCCCTTTCCTTTCGGGGCCCTACGTGGCTCATGCCGCTTTTCTTCCCGGAGTCTTATTTTGGTATTTGTGTAAGGTATAGCCGGAGCCTTATTACCGGCAAGTATTGTAAAACTCTTTTGTATCCCTAGAGGCTCCGTATACAGGAAATGTAGGTTGTGTACTTATGTACTTTGTATTTGGGCAGTATAACTGGTAGACCACGTAATGTAAGCATGTATGTTATGTATATTTCGTAAGAATGTGTTTAATCATAAACGGCTATTTCACTTGGATAATGGGTATTGAAATCATGGGGTAGCACGTAGGTTAGGAAAGGCACCCAGGTCCGCTTGACTGGGGCTACCCGGTCGAGCGCCGGTCGCGCCCCTCAGTTTTGGGGTGTGACAACACTCCTCCTCACTCTTAGCTCTACCACTCTCTCCCAAACTTTCATAGTATGGCTAAGCAGCTTGATACCCCAATAGTTATTGCAATTTGGATATCACCCTTGTTCTTGTATACAGGAACCATCGTGCTCCACCTCCACTCATCGGGCATCTTCTTCGTTCTAAAATAATGTTAAATAACCTAGTGAGCCACTCCAAGCCTGCCTTGCCCGCACTCTTCCAAAACTCCACTGGGATTTCATCCGGCCCGGTCGCTTTGCCCCTACTCATCTTACACATAGCCCTCTCCACTTCATCAACTCTAATCCTCCTACAATACCCAAAGTCACAATAACTCCCAGAGAGTTACAAATCACCTAGTACAATGGTCATGTCCCCCTCCTCGTTCAAGAGACTATGGAAGTAGGTCTGCCATCTCCGACGGATAAGCCCCTCATCCAACAAAACTTTACCTTCTTCGTCCTTGATGCATTTAACTTGGTCCAAGTCTTGCGCTTTCCTTTCTCGCATCTTGGCTAACCTGAACAACCTCTTATCCCCACCTCGGCCCTCGAGTTCCACATACAAACAACTAAAAGTCGCAGTCTTGGCCACCGTAACTGCTAGCTTTGCCTCTTTCTTAGCCAACTTATAATGCTCTCTATTCGCCCTCTTCTCCTCATCGTCTACACTTTCCACTAGCTTCAGATACGCTGCTTTCTTTGTTTTCACTTTTCCTTGCACCTCTCTATTCCACCGCCGATCTCCCTTTGAGACCCCTAATACATCTCTCGCGGCTTCCCTAATGCAGTGCGCAGTCGTGGTCTACATAGCGCTTGCGTCCCCACCAGTCCTTCAAGCCCCCATAGTCACCAGCTTGACCCCAAACTCTTGCACTTTAGCTTCCGTCAAGGCTCCCACTTGATCCTATGTTGGCTATACATCGCCCTCTTCTTCCTTTTCCTTGTGATCTTAAGGTCCATGACCAGGAGCCTATGAAGGGTCGAGAGGTTCTCACTCGGGATGAGCTTGCAATCCATGCAAAGACCTCTATCGAACTTCCTGCAGAGTAAATAATCAATCTGAGTTTCACTCACCGAACTCCGGAAGGTGAAGTGCTCCCTCTTCTTAAGGAAACTCGAGTTTGCCATCACCAAATCAAATACTCTAGAAAAGTCCAGCAGAGACGTTCCTCCTCCATTTCTATCTCCAAAACCAAAGCCACCATGCACATCATCATATCCCCAGACGTCGCTCCAATAAGGCCGTTGAAATCTCCTCCTATGAAAAGCTTCTCGGTATGCGGAGATCACGCACCATCTCATCCAAATCCTCCCATAAACGCCTCTTGACTTCCTTATCCAAGCCTGCTTGGGGGTGCGTATGCACTGATTATGTTTAAAGTAAAGCCTCCAACAACTAGCTTAATAGCCATCAACCTGTCATTCACCCTCCTAACCTCCACCACTAGTTCACGGAGGTCATCAACTAAGATACCTACCCTGTTCCTGCCCCCCACCCTCCTAGAATACCAAAGTTTGAAACTGCCCACACCCCGCGCCTTACCTCCTACCCACCTAGTCTTTTGTACACAAGGTCACAAGCTATGTTAATCTTTCTTTTCTCAAGAATCTTTGCTAACTTTACAGATTTTTCAAACAAAGTTCCTATGTTCCAAGACCCCACTCTCACCCTAGTAGCTCCCTTAGCCCTCTTACCCCCCTGAATCCCCGCACCTCCTCCCCCGCGCTGAAACCCCCGAGGACAAGACCTTACCCTACCATCGTTCACCCAAAGCCACTATAATATAGGAGTCATTGCGCAAGCACTATCTCGAAAGTAAGCGACAAAAATAAAATAAATTACCAAATATAATCTACCACTAATGGTCACAAAACAGGTGAAGAAGTAAAATAAAGGAACTAACAGAGACTATAATATATAACTAAAGGTCAGAAAAACAGGTGAAGAAATAAAACAAAGGAACTAAAGGAACTATAATCTACAAATAAAGGATAGAAAAATTGGTGAAGAAATACAATACAAGAGCTAAAGGGGCTATATTCTATAACTAATGGTCACAAAGAAAATGTGTGAAACTAGAGCAGAACTACTAGGGGATATTTGAAATAAAGATTCAAAAATAAAGATGTAGATAGGTAGATACCAATATAAACAAGTAGGCAAAGCTATCACTAATACAATTAATTTGACAATGCTAGGGCAAAGACTAACTAAAGATTCAAGAACAAAATAGGTAGGCAAGTAGATATAATTACGCTAACATATCAAACTATTAAAATATCAAGACAAGAGAGGAATAATAGAACCTGAATTGCAGCCCTTGAAGTTAACGGAAATCAGACCGGAAGTGATGGATTGCGACAAGATGGAGCAATACTCTATGTATTTCTCGGTCAAATAGGAATAAGAAACTTGATTATTTCGTGCTTTCTCTGGTATTTACACCCACCAAGAAATCAAGATTTCTTGGAAATGGTGAGTTCTTAATTAAGAGATGGAGAGTAGTCAACCAAGATACCAAGCATACTGGAAATGTCGACAGAAATTTTATATGAAAGATACCACGATTTCTCAGAAAACGGAAGTGACGATCCGGAGAACTCCACCGGAGAATTGATTCGTTAAGCGACGGTGGAAGTGTTGTGTAGTCGAAAGGAAAATGCCCAGGAATCTGCCGTTGATAATGGAGTTACCGGCAACGTGAACAGTGAAGAAGATGCAGAAATGGAAAATGTGAAATGGCGGCAATTCAAGATGCTACTAACAATCTTGAAAATTGAAAAATGAATGACTTTTTGGGGTTCTTGTTTGTCTACAGTAAATGAACTTCAGAAAGTAAAAAAGTTTACTTTTTTAAAGTAAATGGGGTTAAAGGGAAAGGTGGGAAAGATGAAGAAGAAAACAAAGAAGAACTAAAATTAAGCCCCGAATAAACATCTGGATCTGCAGAGAATGAACAATGACAGGATTTTTCTTGATTTCACAAATGTAGATTCAAGCGTCGCCGGTGATGGAGATGAATTGTCGCTGGTGATGGAGATTAATTGCTGCTTTGCGGCGGTGGCGAGGGACGCTAGAGACAAGGAAACTTGGAGTCGCCGGTGAAGAGAACGGAGAATTTATCAGATAGAGCCAAAATAGAAAATAATGGTTATCAGATAGAACAAAAATAGAAAATCAAACATAGTATAAATTAATTCTCAAACTTAATCTTGAATATCTCACGTTATTCCATCTTATCTCGTGTACCAAACGAACCCTTAGTGTATTTGCATTATTTTTTGCTTACCATTTCCATGTGTTAGCTCAGAAATGAGAATTAGACATCAATTAATCGCACAAAATCCAGTCAGTTAAGATGGAAATTGAGATTTGAAATACGATAAAACAAAAGGTTTTGGCACTTCACATCATGTGATTCTTCATTCCAATTTATGATGAAGTTTCCCATTTAACTTAAATGGACGTGATAGCTAAATTTACAAGTGAACACTGATAGAGATATCATTAGCTCGTTTTGTAGACATAATATTCTTTTTATAATGTAATAATTAATTTTCTTCCATAAGGTTTTTTCACTAAAGTCAAAGCCTTAACTCCTCCCAAACAACTACTGTATAAAGATGTAATGCTTTCAGGAAAAATATATACACAGTCATAACTTGCTAAAAAAGTGGATATTTGGAACATGAAACAACTATAAATAATATAAATTGAAAATAGTCATTAAGACAAAGTTTATCAGTAATTCCATAAACAAATATGGATAGCACGGCATTCCTTGTACTTTCCAAATAAACTTAATACTCCATGAAAAAAATTTAGCAACTTGTTTTTTCATCTACTTAAACTTAATCTTCTCAACAACCAAATACAAGTGATGATATGTTATTTTGTTTGTCATTTTATAGTCAGGAAAATAATTTTTTTAACTCACAATTTATGAGAAAAGATATACTCCACTAACATACTTGAGATCTAGGGAATACATCACATAATTAAATACAAGGTGAGCTATCTGACTTGCAATACAATATAATTAATACGGTGCAGTATTTTGAAATTTATTATGAGATTCTAAAGTATCAATCAATACATGAACATATTTTTTTTAAATAGGATCAATTATAGTAGCAAAAGAAAATAAAGTTTTGGTGTTTGTTTACCCAAAAATGAGTAACAATTAAATTTGTACGCAATTTAAAGGATACGTGGTTTAATTGAATACTAATAGTTAAGAACAACAAGTAAATGAATTAAAGACAAAATAAATTCTCAAACCAATCGCAATGTAATGACCAAGCCTGATCTTAGATTGAACAGTAGAATTCATCCTCGATTGGACCCTCAATTCAAGCTCGATCGTGAGTGAAGAAAAAACAATGAATAATGCCTTGAACAATAGCTAGAAGACAAAAGAAACCTTTTATTGCTTTGATTTACATGTCATAATGTGTCAGAATAAAGAAAGCCCTCCCCGGTATATAGGGGAATTTCAGTCCTAGTACAAGTCTAAAAAAGGTAAAAATCTTCTTTCTTCGGTAAATGTTGATCTATAGTTGATACTGAACAGGAGTTGCACCATAATATTCGGTTGAGGGGGAATGCTACAGCCTCCTGCTCGTCATGCATAGCCATTCACCATGTCCTTCGAGGTCCAAAAGCTATACTTGGCCCGGGTCCGTCATTTTACCGTGTCCGATCTGAGATACATCGTTCACTCCTCCCGGGTTTCAGTACGAGAGGCTCCAGACCTCGATTATAATCATTTAGAGTCATGCTTACCCTTTGTTCCTTCATCGGGGAAAACTTTTCCCCCGATTTTACCCGTACACAGATAGTCCCCTCAATTTTAGGAGAGTAGATTAATTAAAGCCACAGGAAGCGATAAATTAATCTTGGTTCCTTCTTCCGTACGCTACAACCGAGTTGACGGGTCAGGGAAATATCCCATTAGTCACGTTGTTCTATTTTCGGACACGTGTTAGCCGCCGGTTTACCATCCGAATGCGAAACGTCACGCATTGATTACCCTTTCTCTATAAAAGCTTCAACCCCTTTTTCACCTTTTTACTTTCCGAATCCAGAGCTTTTTGATTTACGTTCGAATTCTTTACTTAACTCTAACCCCTTCAAGTCTTCCTACATTGTTTTCAAGATCTTCATATCTTCATCTTCAAATCTTCATACTCTTTCATTAAATCTTCAAGTCAGATCTTCATATCTTCATCCCTATCTTCAAATATTCATCCTCATCTTCAAACCTTCATCCTTACCGTCAAACCTTCATATTTTCCAGAATTCAATGGAAAAAACTTTTAAATTTGTACCTCAAAATACCATCCCTCCAACTTCCAACCCGGCTATGGGTGCCGAGGTGGCCGTTCCTGAGGTGGCCCGGGAGCCTCCTTTGAAGAGCTTCACTCCCGGGGGCTGTTCCATTGAAAACGACTTTAAAGACGAGAAGGCCTCTAGTCAACATGACCAAGGAGAGGAAGCTTGGAGGTATATATGCTCTGTTACTGAGGATACGCTCCCCACAGTTCGGTTAGACTGCAACTGGGAGGGCAAGGAAGTGGTCGTCTGCGGGCCCAACGAAGACATCACTACTCACGTGGAGGGGTATCTATGTGTTTACACTTACCCCTTTCACACTCGCCCCAGTGGACCCTATAATTCTAGACTTCTACAAAAGGCACGAGGTCTGGCTCAGGCAGATTCACACGTTCTTTTAGAGGATCATAATCCTCCTCTGTCGCTTCGTCAACAACACCAAAGCACCTAGGTTCATCCTTGACCACCTGCTTCGTCTCTACAGTCCCCGAGTCTTCCGAGGGGGGTCGATCAAGCTCGTTCGTCGAGCTAGCAAAGCTCCATTCTTGAGCATCGATGAAGAACGATATCACGGTTGGCATGGGAGGTTCATTTGGGTGAAAACCGAAGACCTTATTCCCCTCGAATTTCTACTGTTCCCTGAAAAGTGGAGCTCATCTCATAAGTCTTCTCCTTCCTGAGTACCTGGCACTTCCTTTTATTCTTTTTTCTAATTGCTTGTGTTAACTGTTGTGCAACGGCCACTCGAGTTTCTAATATTGTCCTACACTTCAAGGAGTCGGTCAAGGGGATTTGTAAACAAATGTCTTACTTCGAGCGTGAATGGCGCAAGCTTTCGAAAGGCAAGTGGGAGACCCGTTCCCATGGTAAGTCTTCCTCCCGAATAAATACATTTTCATACTTAACTTTTATTTCTGCTAAGTCTTTTTTCTCTTTCATTGGTTTGCCCAAGACCACTGAGCTCCGG